CAGTTATTTTTATTTATAACTCTGAATGTAAGTACTGTCATCAGGAGTTTCTCAGATTGTTGTCATTTGTAACACCATTTATTTCATTGGGGAAATTTTACTCACATCATAAGGTCTTTTTAGATAGTGGCATTGAGATTTCAAAATTTTTGAATATTTTTGCATGTTGGGACATTGCTATTATTTAACTTTGATCCAAGGTTTCCTTGTCCTCTTGTGTTCCTCCCTTGTTCTTAAAGATCTTCATTATATGTTTGTTGCTAATTAACATGTTTGTTTCCTAATGTTTAAAATGGGGATAATAATAGTATTACTGTGTTACTAAATGCACAATCTTACAATGAGTCAAAATTGTAATGATGTCAAAGTTTGTGTCCTTTTGGGCTCCAAAGAATCAAAATTTCACAACCTTTTTCTCAGCTTCTGAATTTTCCAGGCCATGTGTAACCCATGTCACTGTGCTAGCAGCAGATACATCATGCTGCCGCACTTTTCCACCACAATTTCCATCAGTGCCCCTCTGCCCTGGTTTCTCCTTCTACTACTTGTCAGCAGTCCCAGGGGAGCCTTAAAAATATTAACTTCTTATTTAAGTTCCTTTCCTTCCTACCTCATGTAGAGTCAACTCTGTTAGCAGGATCTCAGCCTATACGTTCATTTTCTTTCCCCTGATTTTCAGGTTCAAACACACTTCACTAGGAACTGACTTATGGGGATTCATATACTTGAAGATATGAAGCTGTGTGTTTGCCAAAGCATTGGTTCATTGCTCAAATACCATCCATATTCCCATGTCTGAGTACAGTGATTCAACTAAGTAGTTATTCTTTCATCAACGCAACACCTAACTTCAGTCTAAATCCTATCTGTTGTTACTGTGGTAGGATATGAAATGTCTCCCCAAGAGATCTTTGTTTTAATCCCTGGAAACTGTGAATGTTACCTTATTTGGCAAAAATCTCTTTGAGAGATGTGATTAAATCAAATTGTGATTTAAATTTTAAAATGGAGAGATACTGGATTATCTGAGTGGGTTCTAAAGGCAGTCACATGTATTCTTATAGAGGGAGGCAGAGGTAGATTTGGACACACACAGGAGGAAAAGAATAGAAAGCTCAGAGCAGACAGAGATGTGATGATGCATTCCTTGAAGATTAGAATGATCCAGAGACAAGTTAAAGAAAGCTAGCAGCCACAGTAAGAAGCTAGAAGAGCCAAAGCTCTCCAAAAGCCTATCCAGGGAACTTCCAATTAATTTCAGCCCAGTAAAATTAATTTTTGACCTCCAGGACTATGAGAGAATGAATTTTTGTTGACTTAAGTCACCAACTTTATGATAATTTATTGCAACAGGCAGAAAAAAACGAATATAGCCTTCATGTTCAACTTCATGCCAGTTTGTGTGTCTTCTAATTTTTAATAAAGTACTAACTCCATGTTCTTCGGTATGTTTTCTCATCCTGCTTCTGACACTTTTCTAAATGTGTAACCTTCGGTAAATCATTTATCTTCTCTGTTATTCATTTTCCTAATGTTTAAAACGAGGATGATAATAGTATCTACTTAATGGTTATTCTAAGGGCTTAAGTTAACATTTTTAGGAGCTTAGAAGAGTACTTAGCACTGGTAAGTATAATGTAAATTGATATTAAATAAATACTTTATTTTTTAAAAGATTATTTATCTATTTATTTGACAGAGAGAGAGAGCACAAGCAGGGGGAGCAAGAGAAGGAGAGGAAGAAACAGGCTCTCTGCTGAGCAGGGAGCCCGATCCAGGGCTCGATCCCAGGACCCCGGGATCATGACTTGAGCCTAAGGCAGATGCTTATTCGACTGTGCAACCCAGGTGCCCCTAAATAAATATTTTAAAAAGTAGATGAAACATTTCGAGGGAAGGAGAAGAGGGAGAGCTGTGGAATGATGGTTGTCTTCCCTTTAACTACCTTCTGTCACATTTTCAAAAGAAATAATTTGGAAACAAACTGTTAAAAAATTATATTTGTGCTGAGTTTTTTCTAGATAGTGTTTATTCAAAAGAAAGACACATATTGCCAACATATGTTTAAATCTCTGACAATTATTTACATATTTAGGAAATAGCCTTTTAAAATTTTGAATGGAAAAAGTACAACATAAACATCATTTCTGTATAAATGAAGTCTGATAAAAAAATGACAAACCAATTAATATGGGAGAATAGTGTTTTTAATATAACAGAATGAAAGTCTGGAAAAGAAAGTAGATTTTTGTAGATTTCATTGATTTGTTCAACAATATCTGGAAAAAGGAAAATAACATATTAGTTTTATATAACAGAATTATAGAATTACTCACACAGCAAAATATTGTTTTGTGATTTTAATGTTAAAGGTCTATATTGAAAGATAACCTACAAATCTATACTACGATTAAGACACACATTTAAGAGACTCAAGTTTATTTCTTCTATCTTCTTGTATATATTACGCATGCAGTCTTGTAACAATTTATTTTAAAATGCAATGTTCATTCAGTATTATGCTTTATTTGCATGCATGTATATATTATATAGGATTCCTTTGTGTGAGGGCCTTGGGTCCAGATCAACACAATCTTCTGATACCGAGTGATATAAGATAGAATTCCTTCTCTGCCTTAAGAGACTTTTCCAGAAAAGTAGCACACTCTCTCTATTACTTGTTATGAATTAAGTAATTAATATAGTAAGAAACTAAACATAAATGTTTACTGAAAATATGAAATTATTAAATTTGTCTAATATCTTGAACTGATTTACCAACCAATATCTTTTGATCTTATATAATAGTAAAATAAGTAAAAACCAAAGAATATGGCAATATTAAAATTTGAAGCTTTTTAATTGTCTCGGCAATAACTGTTATTAAGAGGCATCACCAACAATATTAACTGCCCTCACATTTGATTTTCAATTCTACTTTAATAGTTGATGTCACCTCAATAGAAATTCTGATTTGACTTGCAAAATAAAGTAAAATAAAGCCTTGACATTTTCCTGTTCAATTTTATAACAGTAAAAGTGGAATGGCTTTTGGATGCGATGAAGGAGTAGGAACTTGGAATGAGGGTAACCAAATTTTTTGTTCAGATGAACTCAGGTAGAATGAGCACAAATGAGCTTTTTGACCAATGCCTTTCTTCCCAGGATAATGTATAACAGGGGATGGAAGACACATTTGTTGGGGGAAGGGGTGGGGACTGGGAGATTTCAGATCTAAATTATTGTTCCTGTTTTCTGAGGCAGTGGTTCTTGGTGTGGGGTAAGAAAGGAAGCTGAATGGATACAACACAGAACGGCCTGTGTCGGCTTTAGCAATGGTTTCTCTCCTCCACCATTCAACCCCTGTACCTCCTATGGAAGTTTCTTCCTTCTATCGACCACTATTATTTGAGAATATTCATCATAATCAATTTGGATTAATTTAAGGAAGAACTATCTACTCAGTTCCTGAGTTCCTCACACAGGACATAAGTTTATAATTGCAGAAGCTCTAGGACACAGGACAAATGCCTCTCCACACCCCACTTCCCACACCCCATGGAGTATCTTCCATGTATTTGGGAATCCCACTTTCCCTATTATAAAATAGCCATTGCTTGGACTACATCTACTAAAACTTAGGGAATAGGTGCGTCTTTTTTTTTTTTAGTATATGTGCTGCCGAAGCGAGCACGGGAATAGGTGCTTCTTAAAGATGTTTTAAAGAATGATTATTTTTAAAAAGTATAATTTAGATCAAGATGAGTAACAGAAAGTGGTTTTATTCTCTTACTTGGAACAAATTTTTAAAAAGATACCAAACATTGCAGAAGCAGCAGTTTCTTGAGATCTGAATATTAAATGGTGAAGGACAGTGATCCCTAAGACACAGGAAGCAAATAATGTGAACCCTATGATTGTCCTAGCTTACTGCCTGGGGAGTTTCCTGGCCTTCATGGAGGGAGATGGAACTAGGAGTCCAGGAAGACGAGGTAGCTGAGATTCACAGGGGAGAGCATGGGAGAGGAAAGAGAGGGACAAAGATAAAGATCCAAAGATCCAAAGAGGATACCTTCATATTTTCAACTGAGTATAGATATTCATACGAAGATACCCTCTGAAGCCAGGTTTAAAGAACCACTGAAAGACAAAATGGAACAATATCTAGTGCTCACAGAAGGCAGGGAAAAGTTTTGGATCTCATAAGAGTAAAAAAATCTCAAAATTCACAGGGCATAAACTTGAGTACTCAGAATGGTTTGATCTCTGTAATGGGAAAAAGGAGCCTTAGATAAAAATGTTTCTTTGTTACTGCTTGAAAGCCTTAACAGCATAGTAATCTAATGCCATCTTAAAATAAAGCTCATGAACATGTGTATATGTGAAAAACAGTATTTTCCCTTAATATCAGAAACAAGGCAGGGATGTCTGTCGGATCACTTTTATTGAACACTGAACCGGAGGTTTAAACCAGTACAGTATGCATTAACAAATAAATGGAAATAAATCAGTAGCATCCAGTTTGGAAATTAAAATGTTTACTAACAGATGAATGGATAAAAAAAAATATGATATGGCTGTATCATGAAATGCTACTCTGAAAAAAAAAAGACAACTACTGATATACTTAACTACTTGGACAAATTTCAAAATAATTATGCTGAGTGAAAGAAGCCAGACAAAAAAGAGTATTTACAGTATTATTCTGTTAACATGCAATTCTAGAAAATGCAAACCAATCTGTAAGGACAGAAAATAGATTAGCGATAGGAGAAAGGGGAGGGTGGGATTTTTTTTTTTTCCATAGGTATATAGATATGTCAAAACTTACCATGGTGTACCTTTTCAGTGTCTGTAGTTTGCTATATGCCAATTGTATCTTAATAAAGCTGTTCAGAATGTTTAGTCTGATATTTGTTTGCTTATGGGGAGATTCAGTTTCTTTCTATCTCCTACAAATTCCATGCTCTATGGGAGTAAGGTTTAGGCAACCCACCTAGTCAAGAAAGCTGAGGTTCTGAAGCAGCAGGCTCGGCGTCATCAGGCTCTAGGGGCCCAGGCTCAACCGCAATAAGCTTTGGGTTGGGAGGTGTAGTAGGTGTAACTACAAGAGGTGTAGCTATATAAGGCTCAGTAGCCATAGGCATGGGAGCACTGAGTGGGATAAAAGGTCCTTCAAGTCTACTCAAGGGAGGGACAAAGTAGGAAGATTTCTGAGGAGGAGGAGAGGGGACTGACGAAGTAGTTATGGTAAAACTAGGACTGTGGTGGAGGAGGGCTCCTGGAGAATTGAGAATCCAGGGATATGAAGGTACCCCTGAACCAGGGTCAGGATTCCCAGGGTAAGTGGGGATTTTATTCCTTGAAGGACGAAAAGGAAGAGCAAAATTAAGGCCTGATGTGGGAGGAGGAGTATTCAGAGATGGGTCAAGAAGGTAATGATTGCCACTGTAATCCTAAAGGAGAAGCAAAGAAGTCAGTTAAAGTTGATTGTTTATACCTATCCTATCTATATATTACCCATGTTATGACCATGATGCTATACAATGAGTGAAGATTATTTTTTGTAAGAATTCCAATTTAGTCTCTTTCTTAAGGGTAATGTGCTTCCATAATTTTTGTGATTGAAACCAATAATTTCTTGAGAAAACTGAATAAATCTCAATTCTGGGAGAAATATTTTGTGTTTAAGCAAATCAGAGTGTTACAAACTGAACAATATGCCAGCTTAGGCCAGGAGAAAAATAGAAGGAAAGTGTGAGCACAGTATAGAACTGGTATTTCCAGGCAGGCCTCCTTCTCTGTACCCTCTGCCCAGCCCACTGCTCTCATTGCTCCCAGACATCTTAAGCGCCCCACCAAAGCATTCACTTAGATATACCTCTTCCAGGCGCCCTTTTGGTCTCCTCCCCCATCCTATAGCATCCTAGTCCACTCATCAAGGCCAAGCATCTCCAATTGTTATTAAGAAGGAAAGCAGAGTGGATGTGGATGAGTGACTACTGACTTTTTTTTTTTAAAAATTGAGATATAATTGATGATAATTCATACCATATTGTATATTTGAACATTTTTAAGACAGTAGATCTTAAAAATTTTCATCACAAGAAAAAAATTATAACTGTGTGGTGATGGATGTTAACTAGACTTAATGTGGTGATCATTTTGCAATATCTACTACTGGCTTTTCACATTTAACTTTCCCTGTGCTGTTTGTGTTTTAAATAAGATTATTAATATTGCTGATGCATTCACTATTAAATTTCAAATTATTTCTTTCTGTAGAAGGACCTCTACAACCTCCAGTTGCCCCACATTTGTCTATTACACGTATGTGAGACTGGCGGGGAGCTCCAAGGTCCCAAAATTATGTAGGAATTTACAGAAAATTAAGACATTTCTTGGTCTCACATCCAAAAAATTTTATTTACTATCATAAACGTTTCATAAGCAATTTTGGTATATATTGGTTTATATATCAAGATTCTAGATTATTTGATTCATTGCATAGCTTAATTATGATTTAAAGAATTTTAAATGTTTATAACATACATATTTTAAAATATTATAAACTATATTTAATATTTCTTATGTGTTTATGTTAATGCTAGCAGTTGACAGACATTTTCTTTACATATATTCCAAGTTAATTTGTCAATGGCAGACACCATTTATCATAGATACAGTTTTCATATTTGTTAGAAAATATTGCCTTCGTTATCAACAGTACTTTTCTATGATATATAACTTTAAATTTGAGTTTAAATCATTTAATCTAAAGTGCTGGCAGTGAAACCAGACAAGATATCACTATGAATAGGAAAATTACAAGATATATAAATACACATATGCTTATATTTATATATGTATTTTTAATGAGCCCATCATAGCAAACAAATAACGCATTTCTAAATTACTTAGCTTTTCAAGAAAAAAAACATTAGACTGAATTATTTAACATTATTAGATAGAAACACCATTTTTAAAAAATACTATTTTAAAAAGAAAATAATATAGACTACATTTTAATATCTTAAAATATAAATAAATATGAATATATTTTACCTCTTCACCAGAAGAGAGAACTTTCTAAAACAACAAAGAAAATAATGTTTGTTTTAAATTCCATGCCACTAAAAAATACCGTTCTTTAGAGCTCTACCTACATTCAGAGTGACTATAACTGACAAAACTCTCCAAGCAACTTGGAATTTTCTTTCTTAAGTGATAGACTTGTTTGCCTTGTTTTCCTGTGACTATGTAGACTCTTCTGTTTTCTAAATACATTCTTACAAAATAGATATGAAATGGCTAAAATTAATATTCTATTAGTGCCAGTGTTTCTACACTATCATTAAATTTCTCATTCATATTTATTTATAAACTTTCATATACAGGGCACAATTGGCTTATTTACACCACATATTTACATTAGAGCATCATTTGTGTTTATTACAAAATTCCCTGTGACTAAACAAGGCTTTGTAATATAAATTCTCAATAAATGCAGATTGTTCCTCAGTGGCTTTGGGATATTTTAAGCTTTTTCTTGATGGATAATCAAGGATTTATTTTTAAAAAGTATAAGATGAGTGCCTATTGTGTACTGTCTATGTGCTAGATATTGGGATCCTAAGTACTGGAAGGAACAAACAAGGTTTCTTTGTTCAGACCTAGTTACTACATCTCCCAGCCAGGCCAGCTTCCTCATTAAAATTTAATATTGTATAAAAACCAAAACAATGAATAGACAAAAAGTAGAAAAAGACCTTTAAATATAGAGAACAAATTGATCATTGACAGAGGGAAGGGGGTGGGAGGAGGGTAAAATGGGTGGAGGGCATTGGGAGATATAGACTTCCACTTACTGGATGAGTAAGTCATGGGACTAAAAAAGACACAGAGTAGGGAATATAATCAATGATATTGTAATGGCACGTTATCCGTGACAGATTGTAGATATACCTGTAGTGAGCACAGCATAACATAAGAGAAGCTGAATCACTATGTTAGACACCTGAAACTAATATAGCATTGTGTGCCAATTATACTCAAATAAAACATGGAAGAAAAAAAGAATTTAATATTGTATATAATATTTCTTTCCAATTTAGTTTGGTTTCCTGAACTACTGAGTTAAAAATGTTTCCTTATGCATCATATTTTCATCCTTAAGTATGATGCATGGAGCACAAGAGATACAGGTTTCAGAGTGTTCACAGAGACAAATGTCAGTGACTTGTATTGTGACCACAGAGGCCTAGTTTCTCATAAGTAAAATATTAACTCTTATAAGAAATTCAGAAGAATATCTCATACTGTTTTCATTTTAATAGTTATTTTCAAAACCTTTCTACAGCTTTGCCATATGTCTCATGGTATTAGGTCAAAAGTGTGCATATCCAGACCACATCTCTTGGCTTTTCTTTGCTAGATTGTCATGTTTCTCTAGTGCATACTTGTGGGTAGGTGCAAGGATAATTTTCTTAGCACACTCCCGTCATCAGAATATGAAGCAAAAATGACAAAGAACTTAAAAAATCTACTATCAGTTAATTGATGAATGCTGTGGTCTCCTACATAGGGATGCTCTCTGGGTATTTTCTGCCCAGAAGTTATCTAGCTCCTTGGGACACATTCTTTCTGCTAGTAATTCCTAGATCATGCTTTCTTCTGCTCTAATCTTTCATACGGGCACAACCTTTCCAGATTCATCACTTAATTTGTTCAAGTAAGTTTAGTACATTGTCATAAATTTTATAGGTGCACGTAGAGGAAAATCGAGCATAGCAAAAACTTTATCACACTGCAGAGAGAGTGCACGTACTTAGTAACTTCTGCTCATTGAAAAGAAATAAATACCTTATGGGAAATAGGTTAAACACAAATATATTTGTGTTCCGTAAACATTTTTCTATCAAATAAGAATAGATTAATAGCACTAATATTTTAACAGCAATAGTAGTCACAAAACTGCATTGTAAAGAAATCAGGGACTTTTAAAATGTAAAATACACTTTAAGGTAAAAAAAAAAATTCATATGTAAATGAAAAAAAGTTTTACCTCATCAGGGAAGTGGAAGCCCATCTAAAACAAAGGAAAAATTAATTCACTGTGGCTATTTATTTGAAAACACTTGTACCCAGATTGCCATATTACTGAAGAATTTGTACAGTCTTATTAGTAGTGTTTCTTTTTTATAAGATTTTATTCATTTATTTGAAAGAGAGAGCGCGCGAGAGAGCACAAGCGGGGAGGGGTGGGGGGGTGGGGAGGAGTAGAGGGGGAGGGAGAAGCAGACTCCCCACTGGGCAGGGAGGCTCTCGGGGCTCCACCTGGGATCAACATATGTCCTTTTTTTAAAGATTTTATTTATTTAATTTGAGAGAGAGAGAGTGCGAGTGAGCATGAGCAGGGGTCAGGGGGTGGGGGCACAGAGAGAGAAGCAGACTCCATGCTGAGCAGGGAGGCGGAAGCGGGACTCCATCCCAGGATCCTGAGATTGTGACCTGAGCTGAAGGCAGATGCTTAACCAGCTGAGCCACCCGGGTGCCCCACATATGTTTTTGAGCTCAATAGTTGCCTTAGAAAGTTTTACTTTGGCTGAAGGATTTTAGTTTGAAATTTGTAAATCTGAAAGATCATCTGGCTGTTATTCATATTTCTGGTTTTGCTGCTGTCTTTCACTCTCAGGTTTTGTTTGCATTCTGTGTGTGTGTGTGTGTGCATAAGCAAGTATAATTTCCACTTGTTTACACTTGCAGAAGGATCATATATTCACTTGTTCTCCAATTAAGCTTCAACATAGTTTATAAATTCACCACAGATTATGCCAAGAATAAAAAATAGTGTAGAAACTCATCATTTACTATTTTAAGAATTAGAGTTTAATTCAGGTAATTTTAGGAGATAGAATAATATCTTTTTTTTTTAAGATTTTATTTATTTATTTGAGAGAGAGAGAGCACATGAGAGGGGGGGAGGGTCAGAGGGAGAAGCAGACTCCCTGCTGAGCAGGGAGCCCGATGCGGGACTCTATCCCAGGACTCCAGGATCATGACCTGAGCCGAAAGCAGTCGCCCAACCAACTGAGCCACCCAGGTGCCCTTTTTCTTTCTTTCTTTCTTTTTTTTTAGGAGATAGAATAATATCTTAAGATTTGCCCAGGGTGATCACAATAATTGCAATAGTAGTTAATAATATCAAGTAGCATTTGAGTTCCTAGGTACTCTAATAAGCACTTTAGATAAATATTTAATGCTCAAAACCATTCTATGAGGTAAGTGTCATAAGTTTCTCCTTTTACAAAAGAGGATATTTAGCACACTCATTGACTAGGATTTAGAATTTTCCATCAGCTATCTCTTACATCAGAGTCTCATCTGCTTATGCTACATTGAAGGTCATTATGTCCATTGACTTTGACTCCATCAAGTGTTCCTTGGGACTCTACCT